TATGAACTTATTTCACAATGAGTTTCTGGGAACTCATTTCACATGAAGTTCCCAGGGACCATTAAGGAGCCATCTTTGGGAAGAATTGCATTTTACACTGCTTTTATGTATATATATATATATATGTAATTAAGTGTCGTAGAGTCGGTCCCAACCCATAGTGACCCTATATGGATTTCCAACGTTGTAAATCTTTACAGAAGCAGAAAGCCTCATCTTTCTCCCAGTGGCTGGTGGGATTGAAACACTTGGACTTTGTAGCTTGTAGTCTAGTGCTTATCAGAGCTCAGTGGCTCTGTACAGTAAGCACTAGCTGTGAACATTTTATTGTGTTTTTGGTGAAAATTTACACATAAAATTAGTCTTTCAATCAATAATTTGACACCAATTTTCTGTGACATTAGTTGTAGCCCCTGCATTGTGTTAGCACTTTCCCCATTCCCACTCCGAGCTTCCTGGCTTCCATTTGTCTAGTTTTTCTGCCCACCTTCTCATCTTTGCTTTTAGGCAATTGTTGGTCTTTTGGTCTTATATAGTTGTTATAAGGAGCACATTCCTCACAAATCTAATTTTATAGGCCCATCTATTACTATAGGCCACCACTCGTCTGTCAGTTTGTCGTACTGTGGTGGCTTGTGAGTTGCTGTGATTCTGGAAGCTATGTCACTGGTATTTAAATACCAGCACAGTCACCCATGGTGGACAGGTTTCAGATGAGCTTCCAGACAAAGACAGACCAGTAAGAAGGAGTGACGAACTATTTCCGAATATTTAGTCACTGAAAACCTTATGAATAGCAGAGAAACACTGTCAGATATAGAGCCGGAAAAGGAGCCCCTCAGGTTGGAAGGCACTCAAAATGCGACCGGGGAAGCTGCCTCCTCAAATTAGAGTTGACCGTGATGACACGAATGGAGTAAAGCCCATGGGAGAAACGCCCTCGGGACCTTTATTGCTGATGGGGCACAACGCAAAATGAAGAGAAACAGCTGTAAATATCCATTGAAAATCGGAACATGGAATGTTAAGAAGTATGAATCTGGGAAAATTGGAAGTTGTCAAAAATGAAATGGAATGCATAAACATCAATATCTTAGGCATTAGTGAGCTGAAATGGACTTGTACTGGGCGTTTTGAATCTGATGACCACATGGTTTACTATGCTGGGAATGACAAATTGAAGAGGAATGGTGTTGCATTCATTGTCAAAAAGAACATATCCAGATCAATCATGAAGTACAGTGCTGCCAGTGATAAGGATAATATCCATGCGCCTACAGGGAAGCCCAGTTAATACGACTATTATTCAAATTTACGCACCAACCACTAAAGCCAGTGAGGATAAAATAGAAGAATTCTCTACTCAGCAATGACCAATAGTGATGCAGTGGGTTAAGTGTTGTACTGCAAGATCAGCAGTTCAAACCCACCAGCTGCTCCTCAGGAGAAAGATAGGCTGTTTGCTCTTATAGAAATGTATAATCTCTGAAACCCTATGGAACATGGTCCTTTAGAGTCACTACAAATTAGAATCTACTCAAAGGCAATGGGTTATACCTACATGTGTACATGGGTATAATCTCATAAGATCTCCAACCCTACTCAGTAACACATCTGCTATGTATCTACTCATAAAGTAATGTTTGCTATTACTGTGTTTGCAGGAATGTATATGTTGTAGTGTTGCTGTTATGTGCCATCAAGTCAAGTCGAATCCAACTCATAGAGTCCCTGTATAGAGTTTCTGAGGAGCGGCTGGTGAGTTTGAGCCAATAGCCTAGCGGTCCAGCGCTTATCCTACAGTACCACACCAGGACTCCATATTTTATAGTATTTACCCTTTATTCCTGTGGACCTCTGTCTCCTTTGCCTTGGTCACCTTGTGCTGACTTCCCCCATATTGTGTACAGACTTCCCCTTAACCAGAATTAACATGCATCTATAGGATAAGCACAAGACTGCTAACCACAAGATCGTCAGTTGAAACTCACCAGTGGCTTCTCGAAAGAAAGATGAGGCTTTCTGCTCCCATAAAGATTTACAGCTTCCAAAACCTTATATAGGGTCGCTATGTGATGGAACTGACTCATGGCAACTGTTTTTTTTTTTTTGACTATCTAGTTAGTAATTCTCTCCGCCTTCCCTTCACATCCCTGATTCCTGGTAACCATCAAAGAATGTTTCTTTCTGTATATAAACCTATTCTTTATTTTTCAGGTCTCATACAATATTTGTCCTTTTGTGGTTGACTTATTTCACTCAGCATAATGTCCTCCAGATTCATACTGCTTTTATATTTGAATCATAGTGAAGTTTCTAAAACAAAACAAAAAATCAATCAATAAAATGATAGATTTTTAGCTTTCATTCTGGTAGTCAAAGCCTTGTACTTAATATCTCAACCAACTTAAGTTTTTAGAGAACTGAAGGTACAAGCTTTTCACTTCCATTTTCCCCTATAAAAAAACAATGACATTTTCAGTTCTGGAATAGCTCTTCAAAACGTGGCTTCTGATAAATGTTGGCAGAACTGGTGCATTCCTTGAATAAATTTTGTATAGTCGACTTTCTTTACCCAGTAATCTCTAGGTTGGATGACCATACCGCTGCCTGTCACAAAACAGGCTGAAAAGCAGATTGGACGTGACAGAAAGCATTTAGCGTAGTGGTTATGAATCGGGCTGCGAACCACTAAGTCAGCAGTTCGAAACTACCAGCTGTTCTGCGGCAAAAGATGAGGTGTTCTGCTCCCGTAAAGATTTACAGCCTCGGAAACCCTGTACAGGGTCGCTATGAGTCGGAACCGATTCCACGGCGCATAGCCACCACATAACAAGATGGGAGAGTTCTGGTGTGGCGCTGAGGGTTAATGTGCTGGACTTGTGAGGTCGGCCTGAAGTCCAAGGTTGGTGTTTCAAACTAACCAGCCTCTTCTCAAAACTCTATATAGGGCTCTTCCCGAAAGCGGCCTGAGGTAACCTCACAAAATGGTTCACTACTCACTTTACCCAGAAAACCCCACAAAATCATGCAAATCCAGAGGTATAAATCTCCGGGCCCATTTTAAGAACACTCCTGAGACTGCCCAGGCCATCAAGGGTATGCATATCCAAAAAGCCACCAAGTATCTTAAAGATGTCACTTTGCAGAAGCAATGTGTACCATTCTGACGTTACAATGGTGGCGTTGGTAGGTGTGCCCAGGCCAAACAGTGGGGTTGGACACAGGGTCGGTGGCCCAAAAAGAGTGCTGAATTTTTGCTGCACATGCTTAAAAATGCAGAGAGCAATGCTGAACTTAAGGGTTTAGATGTGGATTCTCTGGTCATTGAGCATATCCAGGTCAACAAAGCTCCCAAAATGTGACGACGAACTTACAGAACTCATGGTCGAATCAACCTCTACATGAGCTCCCCCTGCCATATTGAGATGATCCTCACTGAAAAGGAACAAATTGTTCCTAAACCAGAAGAGGAGGTTGCCCAGAAGAAAAAGATACCTCAGAACAAAGTGAAGAAACAAAAACTTATGGCTCGGGAGTAAATTAAAATAAAATGCACATAAAAGTAAAAGCAAAACAACAAAAACAAAAACAAACAACCTCTATATAGGGTTGCTATGGGCGGGAACGCACTGAAGACACCTAACAACAAATAATAAGATGGTGGTCTTACACCGAGTAGTTCCGACTCATAGTGACCCTGTATCGGTATACTGAGGTTGTAAATCACAGGGGCAGAAAGCCTGTGAATTCGAACTGCTGATCTTGCTGTTAGCAGCCCAAGTCTGTAAACCAATAGGGCCAAATCTCTGGGCAAATTTAACATTTCCATAACAACCACGACTATTACTGATATACATGAAGTGAAGTAAGACTATGGGGTTGCTGTTGAAGTGTCATCTAGTTGGTTCCGACTCAGCGACCCTGTATAGGGTTTCCGAGGAGCAGCTGGGGGATTCGAGCCGCTGACCTTAGAGTTCAAATGGACCTTGTGTTCAAGTGTTTATATCCTACAGCACCACACCAGAACTCCTTTTCGGTCCAGTGGTGGTGGTGGTGAGGTGCCATGGAGCATGGAGTCGGTTCCGACTCATAGCAACCCTGTACAGGGTTTCCAAGGCTGTAAATCTTTACGGGCGCAGAAAGCCTCATCTTTCTTCTGCAGAACAGCTTGTAGTTTCGAACTGCTGACCTTGTGGTTCACAGCCTGATTCGTAACCACAATGCTACTAGAGCTCCTTTTTGCCATCCAGTAAGGGAATGAAAATCACAGTAGAAAAACTTTGAAAATGTCTCTTCCCTTTCAGGCAAGTATCAGCTTTATAAATCCAAATACCCTAGCTGTGGAGTCCTGGTGTGGTGGCACGGTAGGATAAACACTGGATTACTAAACGCAAGATTGGTAGTTCAAACCACCAACCACTCCTCAGAAACTCTAGTCAGGGTCCCTATACGTCGTAAGAGGATCGATGGCACTTAAACACCAACTTTGTTGTAAAATATCAAAATGTTGACAGCTGTCAGTTTTCATCACCCTGTAGAAGAAACCTGTGTCTCCCAAATTAGTAGTTAGAGAAATCTTATGGATCAATGAAGACCAGAAAGTAGCCCCGTGGTAAATTCTATCTGACCGAATACTATGCAGATGAAGGTGTGGAAAGATAATTCAAAAGGAAAAACTGGAAATCATACATCAGTGGTTGTAAAACCAAAACGAAACAAAAAGTAGCCCAGAGATAAGCACATCACCAGGTTTTCGTGGTATAAATGGGAAAACCCAACAATCTTGGCCTGGTCAGAACCGGAACCACGTTTTCCGATCTTCTTCAACCATTAAGGAAGAAACTGGGCTCGACGCGGACATAGGCAAGTGGGTTATGCTAGCCTGTAACTACGGCGCTATTCACCGCTCCCCCTGCCCCTGTGCTCCAGCCAATCCCGTAGCGCCGTTCCCTTCCCATCGGAGGCCCCTCCCTCCGCACCCGGGATACAAGGCCCCCGCGGCGTGACGCGAGCACGGCAGCTCCGCCCCCTGCGTCTTTGGCCTCGCCGGCCTAGTGGGGGGATGGTTCCATCATGGCGTCAATGCAGGTGAGGGGAGTTTGCTGCAGCTGGGCGGGCTAGGGAGCCGCCAAGCGTGTGTGAGCGTTCGGACTGGGGCGGTGTCCGGGACTCGGGGGTGTCCGGACGGGCTCGTACGTAGTCTTAGTGGTCGGATTTCCCCCAGTTCAGGGCGTTGGGGAGGGGAAGGGCGGGTATGTGTGTGTGTGTGTGTGTGTGTGTGTGTGTGTGGGGTGTCTCGGTCGAAGCGGACACCCGCCGGCCGGGAAGTTGGGGGCATAAAGAAGGGCTAGAAGGAGGGAGGTCGAAGTTTGGCCTTGGCTTCGCGACAGGGGTTTTGGAATCGCCTCCCCGCACACAAACAGCTTTAGCCTGCCGTCGGCCAGCCCCAGGGATGCCTTTCCCTTCGTGGTCCCCGGCCGGCGGAAACAGCTGCTCTCGCTGTTGTAGCCGGGGCAGCATCGGCCCTCGGAAGGCAGAGTGTGGGGAAACTGGAAAGACATTCCCTGAGAAGGCGGCTGGCTGTGGAAGACGCCCGGTGGCCTCTGCTCCGACCTCCCACGCCCGGTTTCTCTGGCTGCTCGGCACCTCCACTATCCTCCCCTTGTCCCTTGCCCCTTGGGTACCTTTTCTTAGGAGTCTCGGCACTTTGACCAACATTCCCCCAGCCGCCCACTTTTTCACCCCCAGCCCCAAGCTGTGCCTGATCTATTAACATCATTTGCCGCCTAATTTGCTATCTTCCCCGAAACTGGGATCCACCGGCTCCTCTTTCCTCCCGGGATAGCACGTCCTCTAAGAATATTTTCCCTCTGATGCCCCACCCTTGCGGTCGCGGTAAGGCTGAGTGAGCCCTTTGCCCTCTTTCTCCAGACGTATAGTGGAACCTTATTTTTGGTTGGAGTTGGTAACTTGTGTTCTATCTACCTGACTTGGCGTGCGTGGTTTTCTGACTTTCTAACGTTATTTACCTTCCCTTTTCTTCCCTAATCCAAGGAGGAGTTTGGTTTTTCAGGCAAAGATGGCAACCACAGTTGTAGTTTGTGGAGATTTTCTCTGCATTATCTATAACCTGCATTTAATTCACAGATGAAGACTAGTGATATCAAAACACAAGAAAGGAAAAGAGGGCAGAAGTCTTCATTTGGAATGCTAGCTGAATGCTCTTTAGAGTTTTAAAAGCATCCCCTTAAATAAAGAAAGAAGCCACATTTTTCTTAGAAAGATTTTTTGGTTTTATTTCTAGAAGAAAATCAAGTCTTCCTATATTCTCTTAGTCCCACCCCTCCCCCACTTGTAGGCAAGTAGTGTGTTTTTTTTTTAATCTCTTCTCTTTTCTGCATTTTCTTCCTCTTTTGTGCACATCATTTCCTTACCTCAAATTTACTTTTGTGTTTTTACCTCTTTCCCTCTGTTTTTCATACAGTATTCCTCTTAACATTGTAGTGGAACAGACAAATTGTAGATAATGATTTTGTTTGAAAGAGATGTCATGAAAAAGTGGAGGGAAAAAACAAGAACAATTTCAGGAAACATACTCTACATTAGTCTTCTTGAGAGACGTTAGAGAAGCTTCATCAGTTGAGGCCCAAAAGGGAACTGTGGAACACTTAAATTAAATAGGAGATGGACTAAATAGGCACTTGAAGATTAGAATTGATATCCGGAGTCTTCGTGTGTGTGTGTGTGTGTGTGTGTGTGTGTGTGTGTGTGAAGTCACTGCTCACTGCTCACCACTCCATGGAAACCCTGTGCAAAACTGACTCAACAGCCCTTAACAGCATTTTAGGAAGATTAAAACATTTGTTTTCAAAGGAAACATTAAGATTACAACCCACAATACTATGATTATATTTGACAACCAAGTGTAGTGTTACAGGGGTAATAGCTGGTTGGATTTAGATTTTAAGTATCTGGAAAAGGGAGATTTCCATTGTTACAGAAAAACCTGAGTTGGTAAAGAATTTAATGTTGATCCTGGAGCCTTGGTGTGGTAAACACTGAACTGCAAACAAATTATTTTATCTTCACCAGGTTGCTACTGCTGCTAAAAAAGAGGTTGAGAAGCTATATTTTAAAAATAAGTTTATTATACATATGTAACATAAGATTTGATTAATCGATAAAAAGAAAAAAAAAGAAAAAAGAAATCAGTCTGTAAGAACAGCTTGGAATTTTATCATGAAAACTTACGTACTTGAATTTTAAAAGATGAGGAGGTCAACTACTTTTTAATGTATACTGTCATTACTTTCCAACTTACTTTAATTTCATAGAAAGTAAGTTTTGAATAACACACTGAGATGAATGAAGTTGGAGGCCAGGAGTACCTGGCCAGACTTTCTGGAGGTTGTGCTTTTTTGAGGGGTGAGGGGGGAACACTGGGAATTGAACCAAATCAAGCCCATTGCTGTGGAGTTTATTCCTTTTCGTAACGACCAATAGGACAGAGTAGAGTGGTTCTTAAGGTTTCAAGGCAGTAAATCTTTAAGAGACTGCCACATCTACTTTGAGTGGCTGGAGAGTTTGCACTGCCCATCTTTTTGGCTAGCAGCACAGTGCTTAACCACTGTGCCACCAGGGCTCCAGGAATCAGTATTCTTATGTGTGGTTAAGTTCTCCGAATTCTATTGCTAGAGTTGTACTTAAGTATACAGTTTAAGCTTGTGTTTTTCAAACTTATGTAAGCCCTTTAAAACTTTACCTGTTTTGTTTTTTTTCCTCTCCTTTTATCTGCCCATTGTTTTTTCCTGTGAACAAAGTCATGAATCACCAAGTAGTTTGCTTTAAGAAATCAGTCATAAAAACTCCTAGTGAGTCTTGAAGTTGGTAGGCGTTAAACATTTGATTTTAGTAATTCTAGAAATCTTAAAATATTAAATGAAAATTTGTTTCTAGCACAAATTTAGTATTAACATTTCAGGTATGTTGATTATTTGGTACAACTTTCCTAGCTACAAATAGTAAAAACATTTATTAAAGTGCATTTTTCTATGCTTCTAAACAATTCTTAAAATCGTAGCACATTGGAGTATCTGCTTTCAATTAACTATAAATTGTTCTTTCTGTGTTGTTTGTTAAGTGCCATTGAGTTGGTTCTGACTCATAGCAACCTCGTATAGGATTCCTAGAAGCAGGTGGTGGATTTGAGCCACTGACCTTGTGGTTTGCAGTCCAGTGCTGGTCCTACACCACCACACCAGGAGTTAAGTTTTTGTGTTATGTTGATGTAATATTTAATATGTTTTCCCAGTGATTCATTTCATATGAGATATATAATTTGGTCTCCTGGATTAGTTTTCAAGTATACTTGGTTTACTTTTCTCATTTGCCCATCTAGATTTATTTTAGATACGAACTGGTTCCCCCCTCCCCCCCAGACTTTCACTATTCCCTATGCTGTTGTTGTTGAGTTAATCCCTTTATATCTTAAAATGTAAGGAAATGGTAACTGAAGTTTATCAACTCTAAAACAGTGATTTAATTAAAAGAAATAATTAAGTCACTTTTTAATGACATTTTGTCTCTCACCTAGCTCAATTGTTGACTATTTATCTGACTAGATAGGAAACAGGTTGAGATTTAGGAATGGTATGGAGTATGAGTGTTTATTTCTTGTTTTCAGGTGACCTGGAAATTATTATTTTGAATTATTCACAACTCTGAAATTGCTCTTTATTCAAGTAATTGGCTGTAGTGATTAATAGGTAGAATATGCACTCTTATTGACATTACTATTAGGGTAATCATGTTACCTTGACTATTAGGGTAATCATGTTACCTTGGTGACTAGATAGCAAATGCTTATTTGTTTGTGTCATTATGAAGGATTACAGCATAATTAACAGTTAGAAATTGACTACCACCGTGGGTACCAAGGCTCACTGAGCTTTGGGAACTTGTGCATTAAGGCTAGAATTAATCATATTTGAGAACTTGACTCAATGCTTTAGCTAGTAATAGAGCTATCTGGGAACTTTTGGTGCAAGGCTCAAGGATAAGGATAGTAGCCTATATAAAATTAAGGGTATTCTTTGTGAATGATAAAAACTTGTATGTGGCAGACCACACGTGGAAAAGAGCATAAATCTATGGTAATCCTCTTAACTTGACAGTCATTGTCTGTACTTTTCTTTTTGCTGCTAATCAAATACTGCTCTGTAAGATCCCTTCCATTTTTGTCTTAACATGTTTGCTTTAGAACTTATACTTAACTTTTCAGGTTTCCTCCTCTCTCCTGACATAGACTACAGGAGAACAGGAAATGCTTTTCTTTTGTTCCTTAAATATGCACATATTGACTATAGAAAAGACTTATCCATCACTTCATGCTTCAAAAAACATTCCTAAATAACACATTCTGCATTCATTTAATTCTATTTTTAGTGAAGTCTTAAGCAATTCTGTAGTTATAAGATTGATTACTGATATTGGAATAACTTAAAACCCACGTATATTAATATAAGTATGTTGTTGTTGAGTGCCGAGGAGTAGATTCCGACCCATAGCAACCCTGTATAGGGTTTCCAAGGAGCAACTGGTGAGCATGAGCCACCGACTTTGCAGTTCAAATGACTTTGTAGTCTGATGCATTAGCCCACAGCACCACACCAGGACTCCAGTATCAAAGTATGGTGGTGGTTATGTGCCGTGGAGTCAGTTCCGACTCACAGCGACCCTGTACAGGGTTTCTGAGGCTGTAAATCTTTACAGGAGCAGAAAGCCTCATTTTTCTCCCATGGAACAGCTGGTAGTTTCGAACTGTTGACCTTAAGGTTTGCAGCCTGATTCGTAACCATGGCGCTACCATTGCTGCTTATAAGTATGTTGTTGTTGTTAAGTATCATGGAGTCGGTTCCGACTCATAGTGCTGCTGCACAGGGTTTCCTAGGCTGTAAATCTTTACTGGAGCAGAAAGCCTCATCTTTCTCCCGCAGAACAGCTGGTAGTTTTGAGCTGCCGACCTTGGGGTTAGCAGCCCGATTCGTAACCACTACACTTATATAAATATATTTTCTCCAAAGTTGGTT